CAATTAATACTTAGACTTAGAAATAATAAAATAAGAAAACAAAAAGTTAATAATTTCGTTAACACAAACACATTGTTAATAAATACCAATATTAATAAACACACGTTAATTGGAACGAATACTAAAAATAAGAGCATGAATTAATAACATTCGCAAATTGCGGACTTACTTGCGCACTCTTGTTTGATGCTCGACTATCTCAGCTAGCTTCATATCCATTTCACGTTCCTCTTCCCATTGTTTCTGCACAAGTTCTCTCATCAAACCGATTAAGATTTTCAATTGGCCGCAAGCATGTACTACAAAAATTGCGGTGAGACCACATGCACATGTCACGATCGAAACTCCAATGAATCCTGTTAGACACTGGATTACAAAGACCGTCTCGTAAACAGGGCTGACTTGTACGTCAAGGGAAAAGAAGTAACCCGGACAGGCTAAGTGTCTTATCGTGATGTTCTGATCGATGATGATCTTTCCCTGGAATAACGGCAGAATTGTTCGGAAGGTAAAGGCGCCGCTGTACATGAAGATTGCACAGATCGTCACCAAGCGTTTGCCGGTTCTCGCAGATTTTAGCATAATATTTCGTGCGTCTGCGCTAAGAACGTTTTTCCAATCCTCCTCGACATGTTGCAAACATCGCCTGAGTTTATCATAGCGAAATATGAAAATGCCGTATTGACTGACAGACATGAAGTCGTAGAGGAGAAGAGGGATCGTCTGCAGTCGAACGCGTGCCGTTTCTGCCATCAACCAATAAAGGACACCAGGTATAATGTCGCTAGAGAGGAAAATATAGGATATACAGATTAGTAAAAGATTGTGTGCATTTGGATATACGGATCTTCCTTTACTGACGAACGGCCAAGCGCCGAGCGCGAGCAAAATGTTGCGAGTTGGTTGCGTAATGTACGAAATATCATTCTGGTGATGCTTATTTTGTGGCATTTCTGTGTGAATTTTGACGAATATTTTGCAATATTCTCGAGCTTTATCCGTTTACTTAATGTGAAACCTGAATGCGAACTGAATGCGAACTGAATTGTCACCAGTCGTCGAAGAGCGAAGCCAACTCGCGCATATGGTTGCGCATTTAAAAAATTCAAATCCGCATAAGAAGAGAGAACAGAAGCAGAAAAGTTTATGGATAGAGTGGTTCGCTGGGAACAGGATTATTTTCCATGAAATGTATTCTTATCCGCTTACGTACATTGACTTTTATAGGAAAATCATTACATTTAACTTGCTTTCTTCGTGAATTCTAACTTACAATTATGTATAATGTTGACTGTGAAGCTAACAGTTTATTTCTACGAGAACTTTTCTATTTGTTTAACTGTTGTAAAGATGTATGTAATTAATCGATACAGCAAGATTACTTTTACATGAGATCAGTTACATAATTAAGTAACTCAAATCATACATTTCAAATTGTATCAAATTTTTTAAATACATTTTTGAAAGCATTTTATTTTATTTTAAAAGACACGTTTATAAATAAATATATTATAATATCGTGGAAATCTTATTATTTTGCACAGCACATCATCGTTACTATCTCAACTCACGTTATTATCTATGTAGTTATACTTACTGCATTTTCTATTGTGAATAATTAATAAATCCATTTTTGTTTCAATTATTATCGTTGTTTAATCAACAACAGTCCAAAATATATTAAAATATAAAACTACTAATTTGATCACCTGAAACAATTAATAAATATCTTTATATATAAAATTCTTTCTACTAATATCAGGAAATAATATATACGATATCATTAATATGTCGCAACGTTTTATATAAAAATACATATATTTTGCTTACATCAGTAAATGTCTTTAAAGAAAAAACAATAAATTTTTCTAAGATTCCTAATTCTTTGCAGAATATATGATATATAATTATTATCAGCATCACATTACCTGTACTCTTTGGAAGATGATACCATTCTAATATATTTGCTCTCCAAGCTACTTGATCTACCTATCATAATAAATATGTATGGAATTGCTTTTATTTATCCAAGTTAAAGGTTTCAGTTCTTATATAAGTAAGTATTTTTATTTTTACATATTTAAAAAATGCGATAAAACGAGCATCAATATAATTAAAGTCTATATGAGAGACGGAATTAAATGAATATATCCAATAAACTTACTACAACTATAATGTGTTCGCCGATATAGCATAGAAGAAAAATATTAACAGTGTCAGAAACTAGAGCAAAGAAATTAGAGATTGGGAGAACTAGAACATTAGAGATTGGGGCATATTAATTAATTATATTAAAAAATAAAACAATCTATGCATTAGAATAAATAATCATAAAGTATGAAATTTCTTTCCGATAATTATCAAAATAATCCGTTCGTGTTTTGACATATAATATCACAGACATTTAAAAGATGTTTCTCGCTTACGTTTTTTAATTAATTTTGTAATATAATTTTATATAAATATTTTATGTTATTTTATGTGCACATTGATGAGAAATTGAATGAAGAATAATTTTAAATAAAAAATTATAGAAAAGTCTGATATAATTATGAATATTTCTAAACGTTTCCAATTCGTTTTATTTGGAATAAAGATATTTGAAAAAGAAAAGCATTCAATTTAAGTATTTTATTTTTTACTTTACAGTTACAAATATTTATTGCTACTGTTTTACTGCTATCTATACATTTATGATTAATTCTTAAAATTCAATCAACTCGAAGAAGATTTAAATATGTCACGGACATCTTAACAACCTAAAATAAATATATATCTATATATTAACAATTATTCTTTTCCACAGGAATTATTTTTATGATATTAATTTTATTAAATAAATTTGGATAAAAAATTAGCTGTGTCACTTACATTGCCAAATGTTCTAAGGGTAAGATCAATGAAATTTCCTGCTTTAAGTTTTAATGGTTTTTCGGAAATAGATATAAGTAAAATCAATGCTCGTGCTTTTACATCCGGAAGACGGTGCCATTCCAAAGTGCATGTTGTTAATGCTATTTTTTCTCCCTAATTTTGATTAATTAATTATAAGCAGTGGTGTGAACGAAAATAGAATACCATTCCATTAATGACCCTCTTTGTGTTATTTGTTATATATTTCACGATTACTGTCACCGACAACGAAAAATGTTTCGGTGTCACATACCTGCTCAATAATTTGCTCGCCCATATAGCAGTAAATAAATATGTTGAAACAGAACATTGTTAATCCACTGAAATATAAGCTCAGACGAAAAACATTATGATCTTCCCATTCCTGTAAATTGAACTCTTATTAATTTTTTATTGAATATATGAAACTGTGTGATATAATGTAATATATCTTGACACGTTTATGTAAAGGTATTTTTTCCTTAAAATTTATTGTTACGTAAATAATTTTGAGTACCATAATAATATAAAATCCTACATAGCATAACATCACGGTAGATCCCAGGATTTCTATTAAATTTGGATACTGAGTGATACTCTGCAGCAATCGTAAGAAACTAAAATTGTATTGTAAGAAAATTATGAAAACTGGTTTAAACAAAATTTATTAATTGCTAATTCTATATATCTTTAATAATTGATGACATGTTACCCATTTGCGTAGAATGTATTATCGTATATTAAGCTTTGACATAGTTTCTAGTGTATGAATATCTTAGAATTATATTAAAAAATCAGTGATTAATCTAATTATCACATGTAAGGAAAGACTCACTTCCTTATTCTAATTTGATGTTCCACAACATTGGCCAATTTCTTATCCAAATACTCCGGTTGATTCTCATTCACAAAATCGTTCATCAACGTCACAAGTATGTCCGACTGCGCGCAAAAATGCATCCCGCAAAGTGTCACGAAACTAAAGGTTGCCACCAAAATCGTATACTTTACAAATCCCGCTACAAATTGTATAAAATATACGATTTCATAAACTGGAGTACGTTGCACATCAAATATAACGAGATAAGCCGCACACGGCAGTGGTCTGATAGTGACATTTTGAGGAGTAACAATTTTTCCCACTGACAAAGGAATGATCATTCGGGCACACACGCCGGTCAGGTACACGAATACAGTGCAAATCACAATTAGACGTTTGCTAGTTCTGACCCTATCAATCATAGAGATGCGATCATTTACATTGATGACGTTTCGCCAGTCTTCATCAACCAGTACTAGACAATTTCGCACTTGATTCTTGTAAAACACGGCATAACCGTACTTAATGATTTCTATTATCGTGAATATTCCATTAGCCATGATTTTAAACCTCAAACGAACGTCTGTCAGCACCATAAATACATAGAGTATAATCGGGATTAATTCGCCGAAGAGAAACGCGAAACACACAAAGACCAGCACGACCGTCTCCAACAACTCCGGAAGAAGGGAATTCGTGCGTGGAAATGGCCATATTCCTAATAAACGAAAGAAAAAGCGATTCATCACGAAAGTATTCTCTATGTCGTGTTCGTAATACTTGTTGGCAAACATCTTGAGAGACTAATTCTACAATTTTTTATATTGAGTCTTTCCACTTCATAGTATAATATTGTATAGAACGAAAACACTTTTGTAATCTACGATACAGAGACGAAACGTGTCTGTTCGTCACTGATCGCAGCGACAAACCGGTATTTTTCGCAGAGTACAAACATAACTCATAATTCATGTGCGCTTGCGTGTCAAGGGAATTGGAAAGCCACGTCAAGTGAATGGTTAACATATGTATAGAAACTTTTAAAAGAGTTGCGTGCAGATCCCTTTACGCTTTTCCTCTCTAGAAAGCTATGAAAGTTAACATTTCTAAGAAAATTTATTGATATAATTGATATAATAATTGTATAAGCAAAATGTAGTAGTTGACTAATCGAGTATACATGGAAAAGTAACTGTACTTGTGTGACTATATTCTAGATAGCATTTTTGTTTTTATATTATTATATTCTTTCTTCTATTAAAATGTGTGTTCTATTAAACTGCACTCTGACAATGAGATAGTAATTCGTTACAGTGCTTTAGATAAAGCATTATTTGCTTGTGTATTATATTAATGTTTGGGAGATTTTAATGCTGCGTAAGATGAATTTTCAAGTGCAGTAATGGTTTCATAAAATAAATTAATAAAAGTAAAATTTTTTACTCACACGCTGCTATATATGTACAATTTACTAAATTCTTGTATTTGACACATCTATTTTAGAAAAGAATCACATCTATAGTAATACTATATATCTATATTAGAAAAGAAAAACATCACTTGATACTACCATGTGATTTATGATTGGTAAACGTTTCCAAATAGAAGAAAGAGATTCAGAGCAAAAATTATCTATGTAGCAAAAAGTCAAAGAGAATGGTTTGTAAATATAATTGTAAGTAATAAAATAACATTACTTTCTTTCACTCGCACTTATTAATAATAATAATTCAAATTTTTTAAAACAATATTATACGGAAAGAGCAATTTTATGCTAAATCTAAAAATTTAACTAAATATGGATCGGAAAATAATTTTGTTAGACCATCAAAATAATTTTGTAGAAGTTTTTTTAGCATGATAAGCAATGCTGAAAAAAGGATATTTTAGCAATCAGTTTAAACATTCCACATAATTTTAATAACTCAATAAAGTTATTTTTGAATCTGTTTCTAATTAAATTTTTAGATTCTTCAGCAAAATTATTCTTTCCGTGTAATATATTATTTGTTTACGGAGTAATTTGAAATTTAATATATTTATTATTATTACAAGCAATATGACAGGCATTATTGAATATATGCATATCTCATGTCATGATATCAATCTACGGCATTCAAAAACTGTGAAATATTAGTTAGATTAAAAAATTAATTTATGCGTTAGAATAAATAACAATGAATTACATGGAAAATATAAATAATTTCCCTCTAGCTGCCTTTTAATATGAGATGGTTGCTTTTGCCTACAAATCGATTGCCTACAGTATTGTTTGCTTACATTACTTTTGCCGACAGTTTGTTTGCACACAAATATTATTGCCTACAGTTCGATTGCTTACATGCACTTTTGCGCACAAATAAAAATTTTAGAAACAGTAGGCAAAAGTAACTCCGTTTCTAAAAAATTTTATTTGTGTGCAAAAGTGCATGTAGACAATCGAACTGTAAGCAATAATTTGTGTGTGTAAACGAACTGTCGGCAAAAGTTATGTAGGCAAACGATTGTAGACAATCGATTTGTAAGCAAACGGAATCCCTCCTTTTAATATAACGTTAGATATTTAATATAAGTATTTCTTATATACATTTTTAATGAATCTCGGAATATATTTTTATTTTTAAACGTTTTTATATTATAATCTAAGCACATTCATCAAAAATTGAATAAAGAATAATTCTAGTAAAGAACGAATTAATTATGAATACTTGTAAATGTTTTAATACGTTTTATTTTGAATAAATACATTTAAAAAAGAAAAGCACTTTGCTTCAGTATACTATAATTTCCATTTTTTATGGTTACAAATTTTTATTGCTACTGTTTTACTAATAGTTATAAAAGTCCGTTATTCATATATTTCAGATTAATTCTTATAATTCAATCAACTGATCGAAGAAAATTTAAATATGTCACAGACATTTTAGCTACCTAAAATAAATGTACGTCTTTATTAATCGCTCTTTCTCCCGGTAGAAAGAATTTTTATGATATTAACTGTATTATTATATTAATTCAAGAAAATAGCCGTAGCACTTACATTGCCAAACGTTCTGAGGGAAATATCAATTAAATTTCCTGCTTTAAGATTTAATGGGTTTTCGGAAATAATTATTAGTAAAATCAATGCTCGTGCTTTTGTATTCGGAAGACGGTACCATTCCAAAGTGCGTGTTGTTAATGCTACCTTTTCTCCCTAGTTTTTATTAATTAATTACAAACGTCAATGATGCCAATAACAAAATGACATTTCACTACTATTCTATTTTGATATATTTATTTGCTATATTCATTTGTTATATTAGCCACATCTTACTGTTACTACCTATTGGAAATAAAAAATGATAATTAATAATACATACTTGCTCGATGATTTGCTCGCCCATGTAGCAGTAGATAAATATGTTGAAACAGAACATTATTAATACACTGATATATGCACACAGACGAATAACATTGTGATCTTCCCATTCCTGCGAATTAAACTTTCATTAATTTTTTATAAAACATGAAAATATAACATAACCGTAACATGTCTATCTAGTATTTTCTTTAAAATTCATTGTAACGTAAATATTTCTTTGCGCACCATGATAATGTAATATCCTGCGAAACATAATAAGACCGTAGATCCCAAGATTTCTATTAAACTTGGATACTGAGTGGTACTCTGCACCAATTGTAAGAAACTAAAATATGTTACGAAAAAAATATGAAAATTATTTTTAATAAGAAATTATTAGTTTTTAATCCCATATATCTTTGATAATTGATGACACATTATCCATTTAACATAGAATGTACTATCGCGTATTACGCTCTGACATAGTTACTTTCTAGTGTGAATACGTTAGACTTACTTTACAGAATCAGCAAATGAATTTCATTATAGTGCGCAAGGAAACACTTACTTCCTTATTCTGATTTGATGCTCTACTACAGTTGCCAATCTCGTGTTCAAATTTTCCGGTTGATTCTCATTCACGAAATTATTCATTAACGTCATAAGTATATCTGACTGCGCGCAAAAATGCATCGCGCAAAGTGTCATAAAACCAAAAGTTGTCACTGTAATCGTGTACTTTATAAGTCCTGCTAGAAATTGTACAAAATATACGATTTCATAAACTGGACTATGTTGCACGTCAAATATAACGAGATAGGCAACGTGAGGTAGTGGTCTAATAGTGATATTTTGAGAAGTAACGATCTTCCCCACTGACAATGGAATGATCATTCGGACAGCCATTCCAGTCACATACACGATTATGGCACATATTACAATTAGACGTTTGCTAGTTCTAACTCTGTCGATCATCGAAATGCGATCATTCGGATTGATGACGTTTCGCCAATCTTCATCAACCAATATTAGACAGTTTTTCACTTGACTCTTGTAAAGTACAGCATAGCTGTACTTAATAATTTCTATTATTGTAAATATCCCGCTGGCCATGACTTTCAATCTCAAACGAAAGTCTGTCAACACCATAAATATATAAAGTATAGTCGGGATTAATTCGGCGAAGAGAAACGCAAAACAAGCGAAGACTAATGTGATCGTTTCCGCCAGCTCAAAAAAAAGCGAATTAGTGCTCGAAAATGGCCATATGCCTAATAAACGAAAGAAAAAGCGATTTATTCCAAAAGCATTTTCTATGTCGCGTTTGTAATACTTATTGGCAAACATCTTGAGAGGAGCTGATTAATTTTACAATTTCTTATACGGAATCTTTCCACTTTATAATATGATAGCTTGTAGCATGAGAACACTTTTGTAAGACACAATACAGAGACGAAACGTGTATGTTCCCCACTGATCGCAGTGATGAATAATATTCTTTGCTAAGCACAACATAACTCATACTTCATGTGCGCCTGCGTGTGAAGGTAACTGAAAAGCCACGTCAAACGGATGGTCAACAAATGTATAGAAACTTTCAAAGGGGTTGCGTGCAAGTTTATTTACAATTTTCCTTCTGTCTAAGGAACAGAAAGTTTTCTACGGGAAGTTATGAAGAGATGAATTTTTCGTAATAAAAATTTACTGATAATAGTAGGGTGTAATCAAAACAGAGAAGTTGTCTTGGCAGAATATAATAAAAGTAACTGGATTTATCTCTCTAATATATTCTAAAGTATTTTTTGTTTCTTATATTATTATAATCATTTCTTTAAATAAAATGTGTACGGTATTGAAATAGTAATTGTTACAATTCTCCATATAAAATATTATTTGCTCGCGTGTCAATCTAACGTCTCAGAGATTTTGATATTGCGTAAAATGAATTTTTGAGTATGATAATTTCGGAAAATAAATTTCAAGTAGATCTCAAATTTGTTGTGAGAAGTCAATTAGAAAATTAAAAAATTAGTTAATATGTTTTACTAATTGTAAAAATTAGTTAAGATGTTTCTGGTTTGTAGTCACAGGCAAGATTGCAATTAACTTACCAGTAATATAGAACCAACTTATCTCGTCAAATTTTTGTATTTTTCTTATGTTCATGTTAAACACAATGCGATGTTAATATGAATTATCATCAATTTAAAATGTATATTTGAAAAACAACTTACAATTGATGTGTAAAGCTATAATAATAGTTAAATCATACGATATTTTGATCTGTTCGGAAATTGCATTCATGTTTAAAAGTTATTGAGAATATAAAGCTGCATTTTATATACACGTGATTGATTATATAATATACAAATATGAAATTATATTTTTATTTATCTCTTAATCTTTTTTCAACGCTGTAATACATATTACAGTAAAGTAAAGATTTAAATCATAATAAAATTTATATAAAGATAAAATAATAATTAGAATATGATTAATTATATAAATACTTTGTATAAAATTAAAATTAACTTTTATTGTAGTTAAAAAAAAATGTTTACTCATTTTTTAGTATACGTACATTATAAGTCCTTGTACATATTTGATATATTAATATCATAAGCACATCTATATACGGTTTGATATTATCATTATGATATGTTCGTATAGTACTTTTCAGCGACAAAAGGAAGATTCTTCAAAAATCTTCTATATATCAAAATTCTATATAGTATCATTTATAAATAATATTATATAAGTAATAAAATAACGTCCCTTTTTTTTACTCAAGTTTATCAATAATAATATTATAAATTAATAATATATTAATATTAATATGTTAATATATTAAAATGTATACAAATTAATAATACATACATTAATTTGTCGACGGAGCACTTAAACTTTGTTCTTTAATATACATATTTGTTATTGTACACGCATTAAGATATTATTGAAAAGTATCCATAATTATGTATACTAATTTTGACTTAACCAAAAATTGGATTTTTAATTAGAAGAATTAAGCAATTTTATACGTTAAAATAAATATAACCATAAAATGAAAAGCACAAACAATTTTTCTCTGATCATCAAGACTAGTCTTTTCTATCTTAATATAATATCAAATATCTAATAGATATTTCTTGAATATATATTTTAATGATATATTTATGAATATCATATCTTTTATCTAGATATTTTTTATTATATTTTATATACATATGCATCAGAAATTAAATAAAGAATAATTCAAAAATTATATTATGAAGTTTGAATATAAACATTTGTAAACGTTTTCATATGTTTCATTTCAATATGTTTCATTCCAATCACAAATATTTTAAAAATAAAAGCACAATGTTTAGGTATGCTATTATTTCCATTTTATGGTAACAAATGTTTATTATTATTGTTCTTCTGCTATCCATACTCTCCCGATTATTAATTCTTAAAATTTAGACAACTGATCGCAGAAGATTTAAATATGTCATAGACATCTTAGCAACCTAAAATAAATGCATATCTATATTAAAATACACTCTTTCTTTCCGCAGAAATATGATTTCATGATTTTAACTTTGTTATTAAATAAATTTGAAAGAATAGTATTACTTACATTGCCAAATGTTCTGAGGGAAATATCTATAAAATTTCCTGCTTTAAGTTTTAATGGGTTTTCGGAAATTGTTATAAGTAAAATCAATGCTCGTGCTGTTGCGTCCTCAAGACGATACCATTCTAAAGTGCGTGTTGTTAATGATACTTTTTCTCCCTGATTTTTATCAATTAAATACAAACGTGTTAATGATGTAAACAAAAAATTAACATTTCTTTGATGTTCTTTGTTGTTTACTACATTTACTGTATTTTACTATCATCGACGATAAAAAATACTTTAACAGCATACTCGTATACCTGCTCAATGATTTGCTCGCCCATGTAGCAGTAGATAAATATGATATACCACAACATTATTAGTCCACTGATATATGCGCAAATACTAACAACATTATGTTTTTCCCATTCCTGTAAATAGAACTTTCATTAGTTTTTTATAGAACACTGAATTATGACATAATACACCTTTTATCATTTATCTAAGTTTATATTTTCCTTGAAATTTATTGTTATATAAATACTTTTGCGCACCATGATAACGTAATATCCTACTAAGCATATCATCACCGTAGATCCCATGATTTGTATTAAACTTGTATACTGAATAGTACTCTGTACCAATTGTAAGAAACTAAAATATATTGCGAAAATTATTGAGAAAATTATTGAGAAAATTATTGAGAAAATTATGAAAATTGTTTTTAACAAAAATTACCAGTATCTATTCCTATGTATCTTTGATAATAGATAATATCATTTTGCATAAATATAATATCATTTATTAAGCTCTAGCATAGTTGTCAGTGTAAATACGTTACTCTCTAAATCTGAATTAGTGGCTAATCACTGATAATCAGTGCTAAGTGTGCCACTGGTAATCAATGAATTAAATGTGAGATCCTTAATCTAACTAATCTTTAATGTGTGATCTAATTAACTTTGTTTTAGTGCTTAAATTCAATTAATATGGTATGGAAAGATTGAAATAAATGTGCAAATATCAGTATTTTAGTGAAATAATGCTCAAACATTCTTCCTTTTTAGTTAAACTTTACTAATTATCAATGCAAAGTATGCCACAGGGAATTAGTGACTACATTCACTGATTCAGATTTAGAGAGTAGATTTACAATAAACAATTAACGAATGAATCTCATTATTGTACACAAAGAAAGACTCACTTTCTTATTCTGATTTGCCGCTCCACGACAATAGCCAATCTCTTGTTCAAGTCTTTCGGTTGATTCTCGTTCACGAAATCGTTCATTAAAGTCACAAGTATGTCTGATTGCGCACAGAAATGCATCGCACAAAGTGTCATAAAACCAAATGTTGTTACCGTAATTGTATACTTTATAAGCCCTGATAGAAATTGTATAAAATACACGATTTCGTAAACTGGACTACTTTGCACGTCAAGTATAACGAGATAGGCAACGTGAGGTAGTGGTCTGATAGTGATATTTTCAGAAGTAATGATCTTTCCTGTTGACAGAGGTATTATTATTCGAAAACCCATGCCGCTGAAGTACATGAATATAGCGCACATCATAATCAGACGTTTGCTAGTTCTGACTCTATCAATCATTGAGATGCGATCGCTTGGATTTATAACGTTTCGCCAGTCTTCTTCAACAAATTTTAGACAGTTTCGCACCTCATTTTTGTAAAGCAGGGTACAACTGTATTTGATGATTTCTATTAACGTATATAGTCCGCTGGCCATAACTTTCACCCTTAAACGAAAATCTGTCAGCACCATAAATACATATAGCATAGTCGGGATTAGTTCGCAGAAGAGGAACGTGAAACATGTGAGGACCAGTGCGTTAGTCTCCATCAGTTCCGAAAGAAAAGAATTTGCGTGTGTAAATGGCCATATGCCTAATAAACGAAAGAAGAAGCGATTCATCGCAAAAGCATTCTCTATGTCACGTTCGTGATACTTGTTAGCAAACATGTTGAGAGACCAATCAAATCTACAATTTATTATATGGTGTCTTTCCACTTCATAGTATGATATCTTATAGCATGAGAACACTTTTGTAAAGCACGATGCAGACACGAACCGTGTCTATTTGCCACTGATCGTAGTATTCTTCGCTGAGCAGAATATAACTCATATTTCATGTGCGCCTGCGTGTGAAGGTAACTGAAAAGCCACGTCAAACGGATGGTCAACATATATATAGAAACTTTTTAAAGGAGTTGCGTGCAAGTTTATTTACGATTTTGCTTTATTGCAAGAAACAGAAGGTTTTCTACGGGAAGTTATGAAGGAATGAACTTTCGTAATAAAAACTTACTGATAGTATAATGTACGACAGTGTATAAGGAAAACGTAGGAGTTGACTTGGATGAGTATAATGAAAAGTATTTGGATTTATCTTGCGACTATATTCCAAACAGTATTTTTTGTCCCTTATATATATTATTTTAATAGTTTCTTTAATTAAAATTTGTACGTCATTGAAACATAATAAATGTTACAATTTTTCATATAAAATATTATTTCCTAGCGTGTTTATTCAGACGTTTTGGAGATTTCGATGCTGCGTAGAACAAATGCCCGATTATAAATTATCAAGTGATAATTTGTTCATGTTTTTGAAAAATAAATAACATTACTATACTGCTTATTTCTATTACTAATAATTATTAATAATGTAATATTGCTTGATATCTTAAAGAAGACAATTTATGTAATCAAAGATATATTTAGATTATAACGTTTGAAGCTACTCCTACATTAGTCGCAAGTAAATCTTAAGCTTATTGTAACAGATTAATTGGTTTTCTGTCACAAGCAGGTTACGATTTACTTATCATTAATATAAGATCAGCTTATTTCGTCAAATTTTTGCATTCTTCGTATGTTCATATTAAGTACAATGCAATATTATCGATACGAAATGTAGTTTAGAATGTAGATTTGAAAACTGAACAATGACTTACAATAATTGCAATTGATGTGTAGAAGTTATATGTAATAATAGTTACATCATACAATCATGCGATATTTCGATCTGTTTGCTAATTACAATCAAGTACAAAAGTTATCGAGAATATAAAGCTGCATTTTCTGTATATGTAATTCATAAATATAAAATTATATTTTTATCTTTTAATTTTTTTCAGTATTCTAATTCACCTTCCTACAACGGAGTGAAAAAATCCGATTTATAATAAAATTTATATAAAATAATATAGTCATTATAATGTAATTAGTTTTTCAGAATACTTTCTATAAAATTACAATGTTTACTTTCTTCATGTTGAGAAACAAAAATTTTATACGTATTCTTCTATATATGTATGTTATACGAACATTATAAGTCGTCGTATTTGAAATATCTATATTACGAGCACTATATATGATCAAATATTATCATTATAATACGTTCGTAGTCGTACTTTCAATGAGAAGGAAATGATACAGAATCTTCTATGTATCAAAAATTAGAATAATAATAAAATAACATTTCTTTATTTCAGTTTATCAATAATGATGGTAAAAATTAATAATGCCAATATGTATATTAATTTTTCGCCGGAGTAACTTAGGTTATAATTTAGTATACTTATTATTGTACATGCAATAAGACTTTATTGAAAAGTATGCATATTTTATCCTGATTTTGACTTGAGGCATACAAAGATTGGACATTTTAATTAGATAAAAAAATTAAACAATTTTATACGTTAAAATAAATAATTATAAAGTACATAAAAAGCACTAACAATTTCCTTCTAATTATCAAAATCAGTCTTTTCTGACAATATAACATCAGATACTTAATAGATAGAGTTCTTACTTACATTTATAAATGAATCTCATAATATCTTTTACTTAGGTTAGACATTTTTATATTATTTTACATGCCTATCTATCAGAAATTGAATAAAGAATTATTGTAAATCAAGAATTATACAATGAGGTCCGAATATAAACGTTTGTAAACGTTTTCAATATGTTTAATTTCTAATAAAGATATTTGATAAAGAAAAGCACTCTGTTTAAGTATATTGTTACTTCGATTTCGTAGGTACAAATGTTTATTATTACTATTCTATTGCTATCCAAATATTTTCAATTAATTCTTGCAATTCAGTGATCAGCTGATCGAAGAATATTTAAATATGTCACGGTCATCTTAGCTACCTAAAATAGATGCATATCTTTATTAAGATATGCTCTTCCTTGCCTCAAAAATCATTTTTATGATATTAATTTTATTATTAAATAAATTTAATAATATAGTTGTATTACTTACATTACCAAACGTTCTTAGAGAAATATCTATGAAATTTCCTGCTTTAAGTTTTAATGGGTTTTCGGAAATTGTTATAAGTAAAATCAATGCTCGTGCTGTTGCGTCTTCAAGACGGTACCATTTCAGAGTGCGTGTTGTTAATGACACTTTTTCTCCCTAATTTTTATCAATCAAGCGATGTAAACAAAAATAAATATTTTTCTAATGTTCTACTTTGTTGTTAGTTACATTTGTTATATTTTGCCCTCATTGGTGATGAAAAATAATTCAACACATATACCTGTTCGATGATTTGCTCGCCCATGTAGCAGTAAATAAATATGATATATGATAACATTATTAGTCCACTGATATATGTACACATACGAATAACATTATGATTTTCCCATTCCTGTAAAATAAACGTTTATTAATTTTTTATACAGATCTATATCGTAATACATTTTTTATCTAAACTTATATTTTCTTTGAAATTTATTGTTATATAAATATTTCTGCGCACCATGATAGTGTAATATTCTACGAAGCATATCAACATTGTAGATCCCATGATTTGTATTAAACTTGTATACTGAATGGTACTTTGCACCAATTGTAAGAAACTAAAATATATTGCGAGAACTATAAAAATTGTTTTTAATGAAAATTACTAGTAATTGGATAATACGTTGCTCATTTTTGTGAAAACGTACTATTGCGTATTAAACTTTAACATAATTGCTAGTGTGAATACGTTAAAGAATTAACGAATGAATCTCTTATTGTATGTAAGGAAAGACTCACTTCCTTATTCTGATTTGACGCTCCACGACAATAGCCAACTTTCTGTTTACATTTTTTGATTTATTCTCGTTCACGAAATCGTTCATCAACATTACAAGTATGTCAGACTGCCCACAAAAGTGCATCGCGCAAAGTGTCATAAAACTAAAAGTTGTAATCGAAATCGTGTACTTTATAAATCCTGCTAGAAATTGTATGAAATATACGATTTCGTAAACTGGACTACGCTGCACATCAAGTATAACAAGATAGGCAACGTGAGGCAGTGGTCTAATAGTGATATTTTCAGAAATAACGATCTTTCCAATTGAAAGAGGTACTATTATTCGGACAGCCATGCCAGTTAAATACACGAATGTGGCACACATCATAATGAGACGTTTGCTCATTCTGACTCTGTCGATCATCGAGATACGATCACTCGGATTGATAACGTTTTGCCAGTCCTCATCAACGAATTTTAAACAGTTTCGCACTTGATTCTTGTATAGTATGGTACAACTGTACTTGAGGATTTCTATTAACGTAAATAATCCGCTAGCCATAACTTTCACCCTCAAACGAAAGTCTGTCAACACCAAAAATACATAGAGCATAGTCGGGATTAGTTCGCAGAAGAGGAACGTGAAACACGTGAGGATCAGTGCGACCGTCTCCATCAACTCCAGAAGAAAAAAATTTGCGCGTGTAAGTGGCCATATGCCTAATAAACGAAAGAAGAAGCGATTCATCGCGAAAGCATTTTCTATGTCGTGTTTGTAATACTTATTAGCAAACATTTTGAAAGACTGATTAATTTTATAATTTCTTATATAAAGGTTTTTCGCTTCATAGTATACTTAATAGCACACTTTTGAGAACACTTTTGTAATACACGATACAGACGCGAAATGCGTCTGTTCGCCACTGATCGCAGTGACGAGCAGTATCCTTCGCTGAACACAACATAACTCATAATTCATGTGCGCCTGCGTATCAAAGGAATTGAAAAGCCACGTCAAGCGGATGGTTAACAAATATATAGAAACTTTCAAAGAAATTACGTGTGCAAGGCAGGTTTTGCGTATAAGTTTATTTTCAATTTTACAAATCTATAGAAACTTTCAAAGAGATTGCGTGCAAGGGAAGTTGCGTAAAAATTTATTTGCGATTTTCCCTTATTGTAAGGAACAGAAAATTTTCTACGGGAAGTTATGAAGAGGTAAACATTTCGCAGACTTACCGAGAATAGTAATGTGTAAGCAAAGCATAGAAGTTGACTTGCCAAAGCATACGTGGAAATATAGTTATATTTATCACTCGACTATATATCAAACAATTCATTTTGTTCCTCATATTAAAATTACTTTTTTTTATTAAAATGTGTACTGCATGTAGAAAGCTTACTGCTATTTATAAAACGTGATCCCTAAAAAAACTTGTTTAAAAACATAAATATAAGTATGTTAAAAAATACCAAATTACGTTCTTCCTGAAATAAAAAAAATATTTTTTATAAGCTATTTAAATATAATTATTTAATAATTAACTTTTTAAAAACAAATATATCAAAGCAAGTATTTTTTAAAAAGGATCTTGAAAAGGCTCATTTGTAAACCCTTTCCCCTAATTTTAAGATAAAATTGATTAAAAGTGACTAAAGTGATTGGATTATAGTGAAGATAAAACTTGGCGTTCCCAAGTCGTATTAAAATACATATTCCACTGTATTTTTACAGTATGGAGATTTTTTGAAAGACAAAATATATTAAAAAATTGTTACATTTCTGCATATATCTCTAGATATATACAATTCATAAAAGCAATAATTAGACAAAAAAAAATTTTAATAATTTGCTTACTAATCTTGTAAATTTGTTATCTATTTTTTTAAATCAAAATCAATATTATATTACATATTATTTCTTCATTTAAGTTTGTAATGTATAAATTTGTAACAATATACTCCCACAAGCCGCTTCGTTTCGCACATTTGCTGTTTGCTGCTGAGTAATAACGTTTTTACTCAGTGCTGTGATTTGCTTTGGAAGTAATGGTTCGGTTTATATAAATTTATATGAAAATATATATAAAATAGTTATTAAGTAATTTAATTAATTATTAAATTGTTTTCTATGAAAATTTATATTCCGCCGTACTAAAAAACAAAAATTTCTTACTCATTCTTCTGTAAATATTCATTATACTAAGTTTTATAGAAATATTCATTTAATTGTTTTTATAAGCATGTTAAAATACGTCACAGCTGCTTTGATAACCTGAAAAATGAGATAATATCTCGTAGTTATTTTCTTATTATTATTACTTTTTCGTAACTTTATTTTTATTCAACTAATGTTGGATAAATTTAAGTTTATTTAACGAACGTAAGACTTCATCAGTAAATACAATTAAGAAATATTTATTTGTATTTAATGTACGTGTATTATATTTTGATGATAATTATACTATATTATGATATTATTGGATAATATATTTAATTGTAATATTGATTTATACATAAACAAATGAGTGAATTAAACGCGTATGCTTACATCACCGTATGTTTTTAATGATAGATCCATGATGTTTCCAGCAGTAATCTTGGTGGGCAAATTTGACATGATTATTACCAATACGATCCCACGCGCATCCTTATTTGGGAGACGATACCACTCGAGCATGCAAGATGTTCTAGCTACTTTTTCAGCCTGTTATTAATATTATCAAGTATGTGTAACAAATTTTTGGATTTAAGTATAGCTGATAAATACTTTAGAAATATTTCCAACTTCTTCTCAAGTATTGTCTTGTATAAAGTAATAAAGCATTATATTATAAATTGTACATATTATTATACGAGTATATATGCTATATAGCAGTAATGCCCAATCTTTCTTAAACTGACCATTTTCAGATTGTATATCTTACGAACTGCATGAAATCTATTCCGGTGCGTATATATGCATATATGCATATAAAATTTGTTATAGTGATATTAAGATAAAATTTTTTGTATCTATTTATTTATTAAAGATATTTATCTTAATAATTGATTTACATGATTATACGCTTCGTATAAAAATAAATACCAAAATTCATTTCGAATTTTATCTCATCAATAAGAATATAAAAAATCAAAATAACTTATAAACATCAAATATTTTACAAAACATATTTATTTATTAAACATAAATTGGATTTTTGTACATAAATTTAAAAAAATGTTTTAATGCATCTTAAATGCATTTTAAATTTGTATAAAATAGAGAATATAATTTTATAAAATTCTTGAACTATGAACCGGCGAGCCACGAGTTACGCATCACTGCTACATCCTACATATTATACTATAAAAATTATACTATAAAAATAATTGTTACATATAATATATCACCGTCGTACAATATCATCTTTCGAGAAAAAGATTTGAACACATACCTGAACAGTAAGTTGTTCACCAGTATAACAAAACATAAACATGTTTATCAACATGGACATAAGTGCTGTAAAGTAAGAGCTCATAGCTAATGGATTGCTATTTTCCCATTCCTATAAATATTATATTACGAGTATTGCTGGAAATATTACTTCTTTTTGCTTTGTTATTGAAACTCCCGAATATATCAAATTACGAACTATTAATATAAAATATCCTAGAATGCAGGCATTCATCGTACATCCCGTCAATTCTATTAGACACGCTTGTTGTAGAGTATTTTCTACCAATTGCAAAAAACTGAAATGTTGACGATTCCGAATCAATACATTCAGAAAATGAGAAATTAGAATTGCTGTATGAATATGATATTAAAAGTACCGATTAATGAATAATCACTTATTACAATCGTTTAGTCTCTGCATGTACATAATTTTAATAAAATTAAAACTCCAAAACTCTTACTTTCGAATTCTTATTTGATGTTCAACCATTATTGCCAGCTTCTTGTTTACTTCCCGTTTTTCTTGCCATTTCTCCTCGACAAAATTTCTCATCAAACTCATCAAGATTTTTAACTGGCCGCAGATATGCATCACGAAGACCGCCGCAAGACCACATAAACCTGTTGTTATCGAGTAAGTGATTATCCCGGATAATATTTGTATTGCAAAGATTAGCTCGTAAGTAGGGCTGACTTGTACATCGAAAAAAATGAAGTAAGCCGGGCAAGGCAGAGGTCTGATCGTAACATTTTGTGGAATGATGATTTTTCCTTTGGCAAATGGCAAGATCAGTCGAAAAGAGAGTCCGCTGCCGTACATGAAGATCGCACAAAGTGTAACCAGACGTCTTCCAATTTTTGCAGATTTAATCATCGTGTTCCGCGCTTTCGCGTTGGTAATAACTTTATAATCTTCCTCGAAGTGCTGCAAGCAGCGTTTTATGTTCTTCTCATGGAATACCAAATTGCTATATTTACCACAGGCTACAAAGCCAAAAAGAAGTAGAGGGATTGTTCGGACCCTGACGCGTAGTCTCTTCTCGACCAACCAAAAAAGAGCACCGGGTATCAGGACAGAATAGAGGAGAATGTGACAGATCAAGATTAAGAAGTACTTCCAAATTTTATCGCGGATACATTTTTTTCTATAAAACGGCCATACTCCGTGTAACTCAAAACGTTTCGCGTCAAATATGTAATATAAATTATGTCGTCTTTATAATATTTGTTGCGCAACATTCTTTTGTTGATCTTATGCGAAGCCTTTACTCAAACTGAATGGTTACTGATCACTACGAACTATCAATAAAATAAATTCCTCGTTTGCGCTTACGCGCATTATAGATTACAATGTTTATGAAGGAGAAAGTTTAAAAGCTGTAGAGTTTTCAAGTTAACTTGCTCATCGAGGGTTGGAATTATTTTCCACGAATAGTGTTTTCACTCATCATACATTATTTTTTAAACTTTGAATAATCTTTTTGATGACTTCAACTTTTCTTCTTGTATTAAAACTCGTGATTGTATTGGACATTGACCACAATAGTTCTGATTACATTATACATATTACAATATATATCGAAATATACATATTTTAATTTGCTTAGAGATTAATATATGTGATAACAATCATAATGTTTTCGATAGTTTTTCGACAACATTTATGCCCTAAAAATGGGCATTTAGTAAAAAAATATCGATTATGTATCAAAAGATACTATAAGAAAAACATCAATACATCAACTATCTTAAAAAGTTTGTATTGATAGTAAGTCGATAAAATAAAAATAAAAATTACTTATACTTTTACGGTATCTTACTATATTCTACGATAACTTGTAATAGTGCGAGAGGCTAAAAATGAAAACACTATGTCATTTTACTATGCCGATAAAA